GGGAGTTCATAACCCACTTGATTCTAATGTATGAAATATGATATGTCAAGAGCTTTGTAATGTTGTGAACAACCAATAAAAAAAATTAAAAAAAAGAATAATAATTATTTTGAGTCATAATGTAACACAAGAAATGTCTTTTAAGACCCAGAATGAAATACATTGTGTACAAGATGAGTTATTCTTAGTATCTAAAAAACTTGAGTCTGGGATTCCTGGGTAAGAATACTAACATGCAAATAGTGTAGATGTAGAGCACATAGAGACACAATGGCAATGCCAGGTGACCACAAGCAGTTGAGATGCTAGAGAATACATCCTACCTAGAGAGTACATCCTACCCTTGCCTTAAAACTATAACTGAGAATTAAGTTCACTACAAAACAGTCTCTATGTCATATATTTTGGATAACAGAACTCCAAAAGAGCTCAATGCTTTCATCAAAAACAAGTGCTTATAAAATCTACTTGCTTAGATTTGTACAATATATTTTCCCATGGAGATATTTAATAAATACATTGGAAACTGAAATGAATATGGTCTCTTTTAATGAGTATCATTAACAGTCAATATATTTTTTAACATTCAATATTTTTAATGAGAATGTTTCCATGTTTCAGTCATTGATTAAGAGTAACAGAAAGTAACAGAACAACTGCACCAACCACTTAGCAAGCATTTTAAATTTGTTAGAAAATATGCCTATTCAATTTGTATTACCTGCTCTGTTATCATTTTTAAGCTATATCAAAATAACTCTATGATGGTGAAACATTTTTCAACAGGTATTTTTGTTGCTTTTTTTTTGGTACTGGGGACTGAAGCTGGGGCACTTGACCACTGAGCCACATCCCCAGCCCTATTTTGTATTTTATTTAGAGACAGGGTCTCACTGAGTTGCTTTAGTGCCTAGTTGTTGCTGAGGCTGGCTTTGAACTTGTGATCCTCCTGTCTCAGCTTCTTAAACTGCTGGGAATTCAGGCGTGTGCCACCACATCCAGCTCAACAGTTTAAATAAATAAATAAGAACCTGAGGCCTCTAAAATAAATCTGGCAAAGATAAGAGCTAGTAAGGAGCAGAAAAACAGAATAAAATACAGGTGGATTCCAAAACTGAAAAGGAAAAGAGTTCTCTTGATCTGTTTTTGCTTGTTTGGGGTGTGTGTGTGTGTGTGTGTAAAAGAGACAGAGACACACACACACACACACACACACACACACGCACACACACACACACACGGGATTTAACCCCAGGGCTTTGGGCATTCCAGGCAACAGAAACATTCTCTTAAAAAAAAATGTAGCGGGGTACAATGGCACATACCTGCAATCCCAGTAATTTGAGAGGATGAGGTATGTAGATTGCAAGTTCTTGTTTTAATTTTTTAGTTGTAGATGAACACAATACCTTTATTTTATTTATTTATTTTTATGTGGTGCTAAGGATCAAACCCAGTGGCTTACACATGCTACACAAGTGCTCTACCACTGAGCTACAACCCCAGCCCAGACTGCAAGTTTGAGACCAGCCTGGGCAACTTAGGGAAACCCTGTCTCAAAATAAAAAATAAAAGGGCTGCGGATGTAGCTCAGTGGTAGAGCACTCCTAGGTTTAATCTTGTATACCATGAAGGGTGGGGAGAACACAACTATCAGGGTCTATTTAAATAAGATAATGTCCTTTTATTAAAGTATAATTATACATGCTTTAATTATGTATTTTATTTCTAATAAATTGTCACACTGTTCTAAATATCATAGACAAAGAAAACTCATATAATTTGCTTTGGCCTTTCCCAGAGGTATTCAGGCTGATGGCAATCTTAGTTGCAAGCTATCTGTACATTAGATAGGAGACAAAGACTAGGAAAATATCATAACTCTCATGTACCAGTAATACCCTGAAAGGGACAGCCAAGTTGCTAGTCCTCAATGAGAGTCCCTTAGGCAGAGGTCATTTTACATTTTATTTACAACATATTAAACCTGTCAACAGTCTCAAGCTTGATCAACAGGTTATAAAGTGGCTTGGCAAAAGTCTTCCCAAAAGGGCCACTCTCTCCTAGGAATTCTTTTTTTTTTTTTTTTTTTGGGTACCAGGGATTGAACTCAGGGGCATTCAACCACTGAGTCACATCCCCAGCCCTATTTTTTTTTAATATTTATTTTTTAGTTTTTGGCGGACACAACATCTTTGTTTGTATGTGGTGCTGAGGATCGAACCCGGGTCGCACGCATGCCAGGCGAGTGCGCTACCGCTTGAGCCACATCCCCAGCCCCCCTAGGAATTCTTTCCAAGAATCAAAGGTGAGATATATAAGGACATGTAAAAGGCAAATAGAGAGGGCAATAAATAGAAGTCATGAAATGTTGGATCTAACCCTCTCTCTCCAGGTCCTGAAGCCAAGGGAACAAAGTTAGGAGCAGTCAGTTAAATAGCAGAAGCAGACAAAGCAGCAGAAAAAAGTACAAAAAAAAATGTGACTACTGCAGCTCCTGGTAGTTAGAACTGTTCTAGTCTCCTAAACATTCTCCTTGGGCCTCACTGTTCAAATGCTGAGAAGGCGCCAAAGGTCCTTCCCTTTTTGTATCTCTTTGACCTCATCTCACCTAATCACCTCACTCATTTCATTTCACTTCTACCACACTACCTTTCTTATACTCCTCAAATAATCCAGGCATATTTTTTAACCTCAGAGCCTTGCCTTTCTGGAACATCTCCCCCTAAATATCTACACAATACATTCCCTCATATCCATTAGGTCTCTAAGTAGAAGCAAATAAACAAAAAGTCTTTTTTTTTTGGTGGGGGCTGTGAGGTCTACCCTAATAATTTTATTTAAAATTGCATCTCCAAGCCAGGTATAGTGGCACATTTCTGTAATCCCAGTGAGCTGGGTGACTGAGGCAAAAGAATTGCAAGTTTGAGGCCAGACTCAGCAACTTGGCAAGACCCTGCCTCAAAATAAAACATAAAATGGACTGGGGATGTAGCTCAGTGGGTAAAACACCTCTGGGTTCAATTCCTAGTACAAAAAAACAAAACAAAACAAAACAGACAAACAAAAAACAACCCTCCAGCTCTTTCACCTGTAACAATAGCTCTTAACCTGTTTTTTTTTTCCATAGTACTTATTATATAATTATTATTAATCTCCCTTTGAAGGCAGGAACTTTTCTTTTTATTCTTCACTGATAAATCCATAGAGCCTAGGACAAAATCTAGTACACCATTTATGTGGTTGCTTTTGCCATTCTACAAATGAGCAAAGTGATCTCCAGAGAGGTCAAGACAGAAGACTTAAAATGAATACCAGGTCTATCCATCAAGACCTAGTCCTTTTTCCATTTAGACACTAGCTATCAGAATACAGGCAAAAAGCAATCATAAACAGAAAAGAATACTATGCTTCATATTTTTATGTTACTATTATTAACTTTAGTTGAAAACAGTTTATATGAATGGATAAGTTCTTTATATATTCTTAAATTCTCCTTTAAAGGTTTTTTTGTTTAAGTTCTGAGATAAGGTAACACATTTCTTTTCCCATAGTAGCTAATTTCCAAGACTAATGTTTCCAATCACAAACTTCCTATCTTTTAATTTCAATTTCTTTATTTCATAAATTATTCTCACACTCACAAGATTTGTTAATCTTTCATCATATATTTAAATGATTCATTTTAAAAAATTCTTTATCCATTTTCACTCCTCACTTTATTTTTCCTTTTTATGGGGTGGGGGTGTACTGGTGATTAAACTCAGGGGCACTTAAATCCTGAGTCACATCCCCAGCCCCTTTTATTTTTTATTTTGAGACAGGGTCTCACTATGTTGTTTAGGGTCTCAAGACTAGCTAGTTGATGAGGCTAGTCTTGAATTTGTAATCCTCCTGCTTCAGCTGCCCTAGCACTGGGATTATAGGCATAAGCCACTGCACCTGGCTCACTTTATGTCTTAATTAGGAAAAGTCACTAACAATGATGCAATGATGTTTGCACCATAAACTGCCATTTTACCTATCTAATGAAAGCATTATTATGAATACCATTATTATTTTGTGGTGCTGAGACTCAAACCCAGGGCTTCATGCAATCTTGGCAAATACTCCACCACTGAGCCACATCTCCAGCCCTTTTTAATGTAAATTTTGAGACAGGGTCTTGCTAAGTTGCTTGGGGCTTCCATAAGTTGCTGAGGCTGGCTTTGAATTTGCAGTCACCCTGCCTCAACCACCGAATCACTGGGTATACAGGCATATGCCACTGTACCCAGCCCCCAAAATATTTTTAAAAGGGAAAATAAAGTGACAATTAAAACAAAAACAAAACTTAATTGGTAAAGAAAACTATAACCATATTTTAAAGTTATATTGTGAAAAATCAAACCATAAAGATATGTAATCTAATATACCACCACATTCACTATGAAGAGTTAAGAACAAGTCAGGCATATATCAATACTCTAAAGCTGATCTGATTTGTAGTAGTTAGGACTTGAGTTATTCCAAAGTAGGTACACAGCCTTCACAAAATTTTTTTTCTATTATTTTAATATTCACAGAATTTCACTTTCCCTGTATTAAAAATCTTAGCACTTTGCCTTTGAGAGAAAAGCAAAAAATAAGCATCTACAAAACAATATGATCTTCACAGTATTTATGCTATTTTCTTTCTTTCTTTTTTTGGTGGGACAGGTGTACTGAGGATTCAACCCAGGAGCATGCTACCACTGAGCTACACCCCCATCCCTCTTTCTTTCTTATTTTGAGACAGGGGCTTGCTAAGTTGTTAAGGCTAGCCTCATTCTCCTGCCTTAGCCTCCCAAATCACTAGGATTACTAGTGTGCACCACCACATGTGGCTACACTCTTTTCTTGTTAGAGTTGCAAAAACAAAGTCAGATCTCCAGAGCTAGCTACCAACAATAGCCAATAATGTTAAAGTTTTCGGTAAATTATTTTCATACCTGTGTTTTCTTATGAGATACTTGCAATGCCTCAATAAGTAATCTTTTGAAGGTCTACACAATTTCAGTGACCAGAAGTCATCAAGTCTCATCTTTGGAGAGCAAGATTTTCCTGGATTTCCACCAAATAAATAATGAACCTATGGTAAACACAACAAACCAAATTTTTAAAAATTCATATATTTCAAGAAACTATAGAAGCCCTGGTATAAGGTTTTCATTTGGGTAGTAATATGTAATACTACAAATATAATTTTTACCAAAGACTCCCCTCCCCTCCTCTTCTACCCCCAATGTCCCCCAAACTTTTTTTTTTTTTTTTAAATAACTAGGAATTGAACCTAGGTCTCATGCATACTCTACCACTGAGCTATAAAGCACTATGGCTACTTTCCTAAACTATACTTCATACTGAAATAAGTTGTATTACCACAATTATAATGATAGCAGAAGACATAAAACAAAAGCAATGATAGAAAAGAAACAAACAAATACTTAGGGGAAGAATTTAATCCAAGATAAATTTGTGGAAGACAACAAATAATAGGCATTATCAAGTTAATCAAGTATTGATCAAAATAGCAAATAATATTTTTTTAAAAAACTGACATACGTGTTGAATTGAATCACTGAATCTAAAAACCTTATAAAAATGTTATCTTATTTTGCTTTAACCTAAATACCAAATATTAAATGGAACATATAATTTGTAAAATAGTTTTAAAATTATTTAATTAATACCAAAAAAGAAATGTAAAAGGAAAGCAATAATGATTTCACTATTATATTAGATGCTTTGTGGCCCGCATCCCCCCTATCCCCTCAATCTCCCCCACCCCCCAACCCTCCCGCCCCCTCAACCCCCCTCGCCCCCTAACCCCAACCTCCCCACCCCTCCCCCAGCCCCCCTACTCCCTCCCTCCACCCCTCCCCCCACCCCTACCCTTTCTCCCCCCTTCCCCCCCCACCTCATACTAGGTATTGAACTCAGGGGCACTCAACCACTGAGCCACATCTCCAGTCCTATTTTGTATTTTATTTAGACATAGGGTCTCATTGATTTGCTTAGCACCTCACCATTGCTGAGGCAGGAGAATGAGGCTAGCCTCAACAACTTAGGTTGGCTTTGAATCTGTGATCCTCCTGTCTCAGCCTCTGAGCCACTGGAATTACAGGCGTGCACCACTGTGCCTGGCTTATATTAGAGTTTTAATGTTATTCTGTCAAAAGTTTTAAAGCATTTCCTGAAATTTTAAAACACTACAGTCAATGGTATTAAAGCCAAAATTAGACAGGCAGTCAGTATAGATAGGTAAATTAAGTCAGGTCAGATCAAGGAGGCCAATTTGAGTGAGTACTGGAAGTTGGGGACTGCTCCCTGAGGGACTGAAATGTTAATTCCTTCAGAGCCTTTCCTCCACCCTGATCAAGAACCTTAGCACAATCCTTAGCACAACATAAATAAACAAACAAACAAATAAATAAAGGTATTGTGTCATGTACAACTAAAAAAAAGAAAAAAGAAAGAAAGAAAAAGCAATCATGAAATTCATTTGGAAAAATAAAAAACCCAGAATAGCCAAAGCAATCCTTAGCAAGAAGAGTAAAGCAGAAGGCATCACAATGCCAGACCTGCAAGACATTGCTTTTAAGGCATTCTACTCTGCTCCAATCTATTGCTGAGGAACTGTCCCAGGTACCTACAGGGAGCTATAAAGTTGTTAATTAATGTGTCCCAGGGCCGCTCCCTTCTGCCCTTCCCCTTTCGGCCCACCTGTTTCCCACCTTTTGGCCATCCCACTGAGCATATCCTGGGCTAGTCACAGGTATGCAGGAAGGAAAAAGGTAAGGGGAAGAAAGACATAAAGAGGTAGAACACATTGCTTCTTGGTATACCAGGATACCAGCTATGGCCCCCTTCTCCCTCCAGGGAGAAGTCTATATTACCCCTTTTAAAGTAAACCCTGCTTTATATGCTTGCCTCGGCATGATTCTCTGCTATTCAAACTTCAACATGTGAGGGAGCAGAACTTGTCACTGATAACGGGCAGTATCAGTATTATACCATAGAGATATTATTTCTGTTCCACATGTGAAATTCATTTAACCTTCTAAATTGGAAGACTCTAAGAGACTTTTATTCATCTCATGTATCTTTCACCTAGGGGTCTCAAACTATATAGCCCAGACTTTTAATCACCTGTAGCTTTAACAGAAAGAACAGGGCTCTGTCAGTAAATTTCCATATAATCTGTGTCTAATCACTAAACTACCTGCTTAATTAAAGGCAGAAATAGTTAAAGAAACCACTTTAAATACTTAGTTACATTCAAACTTCAGAATGCACGATGATTTTCAAAAGGATGGTGGAAGACAGGTCATTCATACAGAAAAATATAGATAAAATGGCTTCTTTACACAATGGAAAGTCTCTAAAACCAGGAAGTTTACAAATCTATCTCCTCCTTTCGTATCATTGGCAAAGGTACCCAAATACTCAAAACTGTACTTTTTGTGTGTGTGTGTGGAGCTAAGGATTAGACCTAGGACTTTATATATGATATACAAGTGTAGAAGCAGCCAATAACAGTTTTCAAAAGAGAAGTGCCAAGAATTATAGCCTATGAAAAAAATAATTGTTCTCTTAAAGAATTTTAGAGAAAACTGATACTGAATATCTAATACACATACTACTATTTGCTATAGATCATAACTTTTTATTCAAATCCACTTAAAAAATCAGAAAGAGATATATTTGGAGGTTTTTTCAGATTAGGCCACAAAATATTTACAGGTCAAAGTAGTGAACACACCTTGTGTAACTCATCATAAACAAGCTGGTGGGCAAATCTTGGACATGGTTCTTCTTCCTGCAGACTTTTACTTGGATTGTCTTTTGCAGCTTGATCATTCTTATAGACGCAAGACCTGCAAGACATTGCTTTTAAGGCATTCTACTCTGGAAAATTTGCAGCAATGTTAATACAAATATAGCAAGCAAATTAATTGCCAATTACCAACAAAAAATCAAATTATATATTTGTTCTCATCAAAGCTTAAAGTTCTGATAACTCTCATAAAACAATATGCATTTGTTAGAACTGAGTTCTGAAATTCTTTTAATGGCCATCAAATAGCTCACTCTAAAACAACCTATCTCATGCTGTGAAACACAAACAGTACATATAAAGGCTCAAACTGAAAGTTGAAAGGGAGGCAATCCTGTTTATTATTCACAATAAAAAGACTCACAGTACACTGCTTTCATTCTGATTATAAATAAACATCCTATTTAGAAAACAATAAATCTCTTAGTTTCTGAGTACTACTATCCATTACCAAATGGAGGAAGTTCTTTGAAGTGTTTCTGTTAGGTAGAATATTTATTTCTGGTGCCACCACAGAATGTGACAGCTGGATCTTCTGGGTCAATATTTCCCAAACAAACTGTGCAGAACCAGTTTTGTGAGATGCTCTGTGACAAAGGGTCCTCTCTGGAAATGCTAAGTAATAATGTCCTCAATTTACTCTAGTCAAACTTTTACAGTTTATAAAAAACTAAGACCTGGGGACATTTAAAAAAGCTTGTTCTCTCAGTGATGAATCTACTGAAAGAGACATTAGAAAAACTACCCCATATTTGATAGCCTCAAAAAAAAAAAAAAAAAAAAAACAAAACAACTTGGGAATCAATCTAACAAAAAAGGTGAAAAACCTCTACAATGAAAATTACAGAACACTAAAGAAAGAAATTGAAGAAGATCTTAGAAGATGGAAAGACCTCCCATGCTCCTAGATAGGCAGAATTAACATAGTCAAAATCGCCATACTACCAAAAGCGTTATACAGATTTAATGCAATTTATATTAAAATCCCAACAATACTCTTCATAGAAATAGAAAAAGCGGACTGGGGTTGTGGCTCAGTGGTAGAGCACTTGCCTAGAACATGTGAGGCACTGGGTTCAATCCTTAGCACAACAAAAATAAACAAACAAATAAATAAATAAAGGTACTGTGTCATGTATAACTAAAAAAAAAAAAGAAAGAAAGAAAAAGCAATCATGAAATTCATTTGGAAAAATAAAAAACCCAGAATAGCCAAAGCAATCCTTAGCAAGAAGAGTAAAGCAGAAGGCATCAAAATACCAGACCTTAAACTATATTTCAGAGCCATAGTAACAAAAATGGCATGATATTGGCACCAAAACAGACACATAAACCAATGGTACAATATAAAAGACACGGAGACAAATCCACATAAATATAGCTGTCTCATACTAGACAAAGTTGCCAAAAACTTTTACTGGGAAAAAGATAGCATATTCAACAAATGGTACTGGGAAATCCACAAAATGGATGTAACAAAATAAAATTAAACCCCTATCTCTCATCCTGCACAAAACTCAAAGTGGATCAAAGACTTAGGCACTAGAATAGAGATCCTGTGCCTAATAGAAAAAAAAGTAGGCCCAAATCTTCACCACATCGGCCTAGGATTTGACTTCCTTAACAAGACTCTTAAAGCACAAGAAGTAAAATCAAGAATCAATAAATGGGACGGGGGCTGAGGTTGTGGCTTAGTGGTAGAACACTTGCCTAGCATGTATAAGGCACTGAGTTTGATCCTCAGCACCACATAAAAATAAATAAATAAAATAAAGGCACTGTGTCCATCTACAACTAAAAAAATACATATTTAAAAAATAAAAAATAAATGGGATGGGTTCAAACTAAAAAGCTTCTTCTCAGCAAGGAAACAATAACGTGAAGAGAGAGCCTACAGAATGGGAGAAAATCTTTACCACATACACCTCTGATAGAGCATAAATCTCTAGGATATATAAAGAACTCAAAAAAGTTAATGCCAAAAAACCCCCCCGAATAACCCAATCAATAAATCGGCTAAGGAACTTTACAGATACTTCACAGAAGAAGAAATACAATCAAACAACACATTTGTGAAAAAATGTTCAACATCTCTAGCAATTAGAGAAATGCAAATCAAAACTACTCTAAGATTTCATCTCACTCCAGTCAGAATGGCAATCATCAAGAATACAAGCAACAATAATGTTGGCAAGGATGTGGGGTAAAACGTTCACTCATACATTGCTGGTGGGACTGCAAATTGGTGTGACCATTATGGAAAGTGATATGGAGATTCCTCAGACCCAGCTATCCAACTCCTCAGTTTATACCCCAAAGACTTAAAATCAGCATACTACAGTGATGTAGCAGCTTAACTCACAATAGCTAAACTATGGAACCAACCTAGGAGTCCTTCAACAGATAAATGGATAAAGAAAATGTGGTATATAAACACAATGTAATATTACTCAGCCTTAAAGAAGAATGAAATTATGGCATTTGCCAGTAAATGGATAGAGCTGAAGAATGTCATGCTAAGCAAAATAAGCCAATCCCCCCCAAACCAAAGGCTAAATGTTTTCTCTGATATGTGGATGCTAATTCACAATAAGGTCTTGGGGGAGCTAGGAAAGAATAGGTACTATGGATTAGGTAGGGGGAGTGAAGGGAGGGGAGGGAGCCTGGGGCTAGGAAGAACAGTAAAATGAATTAGACATTATTACCCTATGTATATATATGACTACACGGCCAATGTGATTCTACATCATGTACAACCAGAAGAATGAAAAATTATACACCATTTACATATAATGTGTCAACTGAAAAAAAAAAGCATTGTTCTCAAGTTCATACATCTATTTTGTAGCAGACTAAATATAATTCTCCTGACTCCCTGACAAGGAACTATCTACTAACTGCACAACACAGAATTCCATTCACTCAACACTCCTGTATACACACAGATTTTTATCTATGATACTGACATTATAAAAACACCGATTTTTAAAAAATATGGATATTTAAATTAACACAAACCTCTTATTTCTCTCATCTTTTGAATAAACCTCACATAAATATAACATTGGGACTACAGCACAGTTAAGGGTTGCTTACCAACTATTCCTCACAATGTCATAGATCCAGAATGAATTTCTGACATTCTCTTCCCTTTTTTCCTTGTCTTTGCTGAGTCCAGATAAGACATGTATTTCATTCAGTTCTGGATCAATAGTTGCTCTCTGTGTGAATCCTGTCATTGGAACTATAAATTGGGGGAAAAAAATAAGATGACAATATTCATGTTACATAGATTAGTACTAACTCTTTAAAATAAAATATTATACATCTTTATCCTGTTCTATGTATCTGCAGTACTTATCTTCTAACAAACGGCATAATCTGTTTTTTTAATATATATATTTTTTAGTTGTCAATAATATCTTTATTTTATTTATTATATGTGGTGCTGAGAATCAAACCCAATGCCTTGCACATGCTAGGCAAAGCCCTCCTACCACTGAGCTCCAACCCCATAATCCATTTCACTAAACAGTAGAAGATGGCTTATTGCCTTTTCCCTGTCTAGATGTAACCTCCATAAGGGCAGAGGTTGTTTGTTCACTATTTTGTTCCTAGAGCCTAGAATAGGGCCTGACATACAATATTTACTGAACTGTTTCTTTTTTAATTAATTAATTCTAATTAGGTATATATGACAGCAGAATGCATTTTGATTCATTGTACACAATCACAGCACAACTTTTCATTTCTCTGGTTATACACGATGTAGCGTTGTACCACACATGCAGTTATACACGTACCTAGGGTAATGATGTCCATCTCATTCCACCGTCTTTCCTACTCCCATTCTCCCTCACCTTTGCCCAATCAAAGTTCCTCCATTTTTTCCATGCCCATCCCCCCCCCCCATTATAGGTCAGCATCCACCTATCAGAGAGAACATTCAGGCCCTGTTTTTTGGGGATTGGCTTACTTCATTAAGCATGATACTCTCCAACTCCATCCATTTACCTGCAAACACTATAATTTTATTCTCTTTTAATGCTGAGTAATATTCCATTGTGTATACCATGGTTCTTTAGTCATTCATTTATTGAAGGGCATCTAAGTTGCTTCCACACTTTAGCTATTGTGAATTGAGCTGCTATAAACATTTATGTGGCTGCATTACTATAGAATGTTGATGTAGTTCTTTGGGTATACATTGAGGAGTGGGTCAAATGGTGGTTCCATTTCAAGTTTTCAAAGGAATCTTCATACTGCTTTCCAGACTGGTTGCACCAATTTGTAGTCCCACCAGCAATGTATGAGTGTGTCTTTATCCCCACATCCTCGCCAACACTCATTGTTGTTTGTAATTTTTAAAAATATTTTTTAGTTGTAGTTGGACACAATACCTTTATTTTATTTATCTATTATGTGGTGCTTAGGATTGAACCCAGGACCTTGTGTGATAGGCAAGCACTCCATCGCTAAGCCACAACCCTAACCCCTGTTGTTTGTATTCTTGATAACTGCCATTATGACTAGAGATGGAATCTCAGGGTAGTTTCAATTTGCAGTTCTCTAATTACTATAGATGTTGAACATTTTTTAAAACTTTTTCTTGAAAGAATAAATGAATGTCCACTATCAGAATGGAGCTAGAAGGAGAGAGAGGTATACAACGTAGAAAAGATAATGCTTTAATTAACTTATTACTGGGTCAGTTTCATTTAAAAGTAGAGATAAAATATTCAATTTTTGACCTGGAAACAAAAAAACTTAGATCAAAAATGAGATATGTTTGTTTAATAAGATCAGGATCATTCAAATATCTGTTCATGACATATAATAATTTCTACAAAAAATTAAAAAATCTGAGGTATATTATGTCATTTTGTTTTCCTGAGAATCTTTTACTCCCCAGGTAGAATTTTTTTCTAAGGAATCCATTAAATAAGTTATGATCATTCTGCATTATCAAGTAATTTATAATACACTGATATAGCAAATGCAAATTTTTCTTATTATTTGGACACATTAGTTGTAAAGTATATATATAGTTTATATATTTTATGGTCTCAGCAATTTGACAACATAATTGCTAAGATATAAAATAATGTCACTGCTTCAACACTACATTTCTTTTAACCATGAATAATTATCAAATCCTCAAAAAGCTTAACAAACATCAGATTGAAGAAAAATACTTATATCAATCTAGAATATGACGGCAGGAGATGCTAGCTATACTGATCTTGATTTCTTTTTTTTTTTTTTTTCCTTTTCTGGTATGGGGAATTGAATCCATTGTGTTCAATTGAATGAATACATTTCCAGTCCTTTTTTATTTTGAGACAGGCGTCTGGCTAAATTGCTGAGGATCTTGTTAAATTGCTAAGGCTAACATCAAGCTTGTAATCCTCGTGCTTCAACCATCCCAGTTGCTGGGATTACAGGTGTGTGCCACCACGCCTGGACTGATTCTTAGTCTAATTTTGTACAGCCAAATACTGATTTCTTCTGAGTTTATTTAAATTCATGTGTCCTTTTACATTCCTATTCAATAAATTTGGGACATTTCAAAGACTATCCAAATGTAATCCACAGTCTATATATTACAAAATTATAAGCACATATAAAATATAATGCATAATTTGTATGCATCTATGCACTATATTTATTTTTATAGTCACTGATCTAATCTTAATAACAACTCTCACACCATAGTTTCAGTGGTTAAGTCTGGTATTCTGTTAATAAAGTTTGGTAAATTTTCACGGGATGTGCTGAGGTTCTAACCACTGTTCCTCAGATAATCCTGAAGAAAGATAAAACAGTGAAGAAATGGGACCTCTTCCCTAAGTGGTGAAAGTAGAAGATATAAATACCTAAATGTATTCCACTTAAATTTATCTTATTTTGTCTTTATAGTGAGTACATGAATTAAGAATTCTCAAACACACCTTGGCAAACTATGGTTTGATTTGGCCTGCTCAGTCTTATCAGGCCATGTCCATTCATTTATATGTTTCCTATGGTTGTTCTCACCCCCAAATAGAAAGGTTACTGCAAAGTACAGCAGGCAAAAGTAAAAATAATCATCACATCTAGTTCTTTTTTTAAAATAAATTTTTTTGGTTGTAGATGGAGACAATACCTTTATTTATTTATTTGTATGTGGTGCTAAGGATCAAATTCATGTGAGACATGTGCTCTACTTCAGAGTCACAACTCCAGCTCACATCTAAGCTCTTTATATGAAAAGTTTGTTGACCTCTGTTCCACAATAAAACAGAATCATTAAGGAAGCATAATCTTAAATGAGCCCATGCAACAAATTATTTACCTTAGAATCCCTACATAAGGACCCACTGAAGGAATAGAAATTTGGAAGAGGAATGGAAATTAATGGAGAAAGAAAGAAAATCCAAATTCTATATAATGGTACAGTAGGGAGGATGCCATCAAAGAGAATGGATTAAAGAAACAATGGACTGAAAGGTGCATGTATGAGCATAGAAAGTATAAAATCAAATTTTATACATTTCATTTTATATAATATCAAATTCTGCTTAGAAGAATACTGGTGGCAGAAGAGAAAATGAAAGGATTGCCTTGTGTAAACAGAAGCAGTGAGTAGGTTTATAATACCCAGAGAGGTAAGACTACAATGTTTATAAAGCTGTACTATTAGGTATTATTAAAAATTGTTTTTTGGGGGGCTGGGATTGTGGCTCAGTGGTAGAGCGCTCACCTAGCATGCATGAAGCACTAGGTTCGATCCTCAGCACCATATAAATATAAAATAAAGATATTGTGTTGTCCACCTAAAACTAAAAAAAAAAAGTTTTTACCCAAAGCATACTATAAACTATTCATGTCCCATTTCTTTCATCTTTGATATCCAATATGACACTTATACTTCATATTGTTGATTTTGCCTGCAAGTTTTATACTCAAAGCTATTACCTACTCAAGCGTTTTATGGCTTTAAAAAACAGATATAATTCACATACCATACAATTTACTCATTTAATATGGACACTGTTATTTTTTGTATAATCACATCATTGTGAAATGATGTGAAATCATTTCCAATTTTAGAACATTTTCATGACTTCAAAAAGAAAACTGTAACCTAATTAATAGTCACTTTCCATCTCCTCATGCCCACACCATTTTACCATTTTATAAAGGTTCCAATCTTTCCACATCATTATCAACATATTGTTTTTTTAATAACTTTTGTTATTGTGGTTTTGTTTGTTTTTTGCTACCACCTATTAAATCCAGGGGTGCTTAATCACTGAGTCACATCCCCAGCCCTTTTTAAAATTTATATATTTTTTTTTGTTTACAGACTTTGAACTTGGGATCCTCCTGTGCCACTGGATTTCAGGTATATACAACCGTGCCTGGCTATTGTTTGTCTTTCATAATATAATTATCTTAGTGTGTGTGAAGTAGCATTTTTATCATGGTTTTGATCTGTACTTCCTAATGATTAAGCAGGCTTAGCATCTCTTCCTGTGTCTATTTGTCTTTTTTCTTTAATGGGTGCTGAGGAGTGAACCCAGGGCCTCGCATGTGCTAAGCGAGCACTCTACCACTGGGTAGTTCTTAACTTTACTGTTTTCTTCCATTTAGTACTGCTGTTAAACACTCTGATATATTCCTACCTTATTATTCCAATATACGTTATCTGTCCTTTCAAAAATTTTTCAGAGTTTTCTCTGTGATATTCTTAATATGCTTAAGTTTGCATTTTTCCTTGTCTTGTCTGATATGCCATGAACTCTTTCACCAATAGGAAGCCCTTCATCTTTTTTGCATTCTGAAAATTTTACCTCCTCTTTTATTTTTTTCATTTCCTTTGTCTTCTTAAAATTTTTATTTTTCTAACTGAAATTCCTTTTAAGATGTTGGCATGTGTACAACTATTCTCTATATTTCTTAGTTTGTTTTCTCCTGGCAGCAGTGCTGGGAATCAAACACAGGCCTCTAATAAGTGTTCTACCATTGAGCTATATCTTGGCCCTTTTTATTTTGAGACAGGATCTCAGTGAGTTGCCCAGGATGGCGATCCTCCTGACTCGGCTTCCTGATAGCTAGGATTACAGGTATGCACCACCACATGTAGCCTTTCTTTCATACTTTCTCTTTATTTTTCCCTACTTCTTTTTGGAAGTGTATTCATTCTAATTTTTCAAATGATTAATTCACTCACCCTGCTTACATGTATTGTATTATTTTCTG